TTTTTAGGGCGACAATTCCACTTCGACTGTAGGAAACTTCATCGTTAATTTCATATTCTGGCGAAAGAACTCTAAGGGAGTCCCTTTTTCAAACTATTCTAAATGTTCCATACAGTGCTCTAAGAAAAAAGACGTCATTCTTTAAATGCAGCCGGCATTTATAATTTCTCGTTTCGTTGAAGTGTGAGCATTGGCCTAAGCGTCCTTAAGTGACAGCCTCCTTGTATCGAAATGTCAATGGAACATCATCTACAGTTTCCCCACCAGAAAATTAAATAGAACCCATTCACATTTGCAAGCGTACCTGTACACGTCAACTCGTGTCATCTTCACCAATGGCCCAACAGAATAGATGAAATGCCTAGCGCGTCAGGCTAAGGCAGAAGGATTCCCGGTCAAATGGGCCGAGAAGTTCCTCAATGCGAATTGGTCGGGCAAGATTGGTGTAGGCCTCCACGTCTGTCCAAGGGTTACCTATTAACGTGCTAACTCAATCCCCTCAGGGCACGTACCTTCTATGTCGAACTTCATCTGAAGTGTCAAATAAAACGGCTATTTCTGTTCTCTCCTGCTTCCCTGAATGAAGAAAATGTATGAGAGTGGTATTAGCCTAAGCATCCATCGATGGGTTGGACCTAGGCATGCAAAATCAGTCCCCCCACCCCTTCCCCAAAACATGCCCCCTGGGCATGGACCCCCAAAGTTGGGCATTCAAAGTTAGACTTTCTCTGCAGTCGACAACCTATCGGCAATTCACATTCCTTCCGTTTTGATGAAGGCAAGGTGTGCTGGAGAATGGTTTTGGCCTAAGCATCTGTCTGAGGGTAAAACCTAGGCTTACAAAGTGAGACCCCCTGGAATGACCATGGAGTCAGGAATCAAAAAGCTATTTTTATACCAACTTTCAGCCTCTCATCATGTCTAGAACATAGAATTAGCGTCAGTCTGTCAATCAGTCACGATCGTCTATATACGTAATTAGATTAACTTTTATCCAGATCCATCCGCATCTATGTATCTAATATGTCACTCCTTCCGAATGTCGTTCCGAAAAATAAAAAAATGCATTTCTCCATAATACCTACGGCTATTGCAGATTTTTGAATAAATAAAATAAATAAATGAAGAAACAGTATCTCAGATTTGTCAAACAAAACTTTTCCGCAAACCCAGATTCGTGGAAATTCCATAATATTTTGTTGATGGGGCGAGCAAGAGTAATGGCGTAGGCAGGAAATTGGCAAGGGCCCTCCCCCTTGCCAATTTCCTGAGGCCAGTTAGACACCCCAATCCTATGCCTAGCTCCACTACCCGGAATTTACCGTTTCAAAGAGATCAGGGTCTGACATGTTGGGTGTGTGGACGGACCTCAGACTTTCCTCGAAGGGGCATAGACATTCATTTGCATTAGACATTCAAACTCTGCAGTGCAGTAGCGAGAAGGGAGCCTTTAGAGATTGCGCTGTTGCGCTCTGCACAAGAAGCTTAGGCTCGCTGGTTTCATGGACCCCTGGTAACGAAACGCACTCTACATTGCTTTCAGACTGAAATTGTGATCCCACTCCATCGGAAGTTTCGTTGTTAGCGAGCATCCAGCGACAGGAGAACCGTGAAGCTCTGTATCCTACTCAGGCCTCTTGGACAGACACTCCGCCCTATGCAGAGGACACGCAATATCGAATCGCCTTTCCCAAAATGCAGGAGTTGGAAATTCCCTTCCGTTGATAGCGAAATGTTGAGGGATCCTTCCTACCTTCGGATCGTGGACATCACCAATCGCTCATAGAAGCATAGGAATTTTGAGCATGAGACAAAAAAAGGTGAGAGACGCAGTGAAACAGATCATCAGTGTCAAATGGAGGATGATGATGGGTCACTCGTCTCGTGACACGTTCGATTCCAGTTACCCGCTCCATGTTCCGAGAAAGGGAAGAAGGTGGAAGTTTAATCGTGGAGGAACAAGAAAATACATCGCCTGAAGACNAAATAAATAATATGCATAGGACCATATTTTTTGTACGTTTATGACTTTCGACAATAAATAAATTTGTTTTAGTCCCTGATGATTTGTATTTCTTCCTCATGTCCTGAAGCCTCTTTTTAGCGCTTCCAATCCACGTAATTATACAAGTCACATCAACCCCCCCCCCCCCACTCTTCCTGCCTTTGCTTCCTTATCTTTTTTAAATTATATAGTATAGTATTACCGTTTCCCCTTCTTGGTAAAACCTTAAAAAATGTGATTTCACTGTGAAATGAAATTTACTGCGCCTTCAAGCAAGCCTTTCTTGTGCATCTGAAAGTATGAATATCGGTGGTGGATAATGGCAGATGGCTTACTTTCATCGTGGAGAAAGTAAAGAGGTCCACGTCAAACTTACCGTCGATTGCAGGACTTAAATTGACGAGTTGGCAAGAAATGCCAAAAATTAGGCAAGGAACTGTACAAATATGTTAACATTTTGCTGTCAATGCTGACATATTTCTGGAACATCACGATGGACAAACTTTCATGGTAAGGGCTTGCTTAACAATGGTAGCAAGTCATAAGGTGACATCATTTCCTTTAGTTTTCCTTGAATATGAGCTTACGAGTTCATAAATTCATTCATGTGAAATCGATCGTTCAGTGTAACCAATATTGTATTATCTGAAAGTTTGGGTGACTGAGAATTTGACCGACCGTTGCCAACAAGTGTCATGCCTTCTAAGAAAACCGAGCACACAATCCGGTTGAAATAATAAGTATTTTGAGCATGATTACGTTCTGTCGCTCGTCTGAAGAGACGATANAAACCGAGCACACAATCCGGTTGAAATAATAAGTATTTTGAGCATGATTACGTTCTGTCGCTCGTCTGAAGAGACGATAGCCTGCACGTTTTGAGTGCTGGGGTCTGCGTGAAATGCGACCCGAGTAGCACGGGATGACCCCAGGCCTCCCATTCCCTCGGGAGGTCTGCGCGAAACAGCCAGAGGATGTCCTATGGGTCTCCCGTCGTGGGGCAATCCTTCGAAGCCGCATGATAACTTCGTTGCTACCCCACGGTCATCAGCGCATCCTTCAGGAGACTCACGAACGTCCTTCATAGGGGAGAATCGTGGAGCTACTCCTCATCCCTCTTGCAATCGCAAGTGGAATTCACCTCCGTCTTTCAAAGAGAGGCAAAGAGAGAACGAGGATGAAATTCCATCGGAACTCATCCATATACCAACCTTTGGCCCGGTTCATTTCGTTTCTCACCAGTGTCGTGTATCAACTCTATTCTCATAATCTTGAGAAAAATACCCTGCATAAATAATCCGAATAAACAATCGTGCAGAAACCACCACAAATAAATCGTTACCTCCGTCACCCCCATAACATTCTGGCACATCACCAACAAAATTTTCTGGAGTTTTCTGCAGATTCATTTCTGCAGATGCTCGTTCCGTTCGGAGTCGACCTTCAAATCTCCTCGTGTCTAATTTTCGACCTGAAAAATAAAAATGAATGAATTTTCTATCATTTTGACATCACTGATGCGCTATCAAATACCATCATTTCAATTTCAAGTCGGTATTAAAATAACAATTTGTGAAATTTCCGACTTAGGAACATGACGAAAGTTACTTGATTTTGTGGGACTGCAGTGGGAAATGTGACATTATTATGAGAAACGTTGCCTCGAAGATGCGCATGTGTCGGTCAATACCGGTAAATATTATTTTATCATTTACGTAAACATTTAAGGCAGAGGATCTAATATCGTTATCACTGGGTAGCATGATGAACCAATTATTTATACGTAACGAAACGATAACCACGCTTTCAGGAAAATACTCTTGAGGATGTATTGATGCATATCATTTTACATAGCAGTAATGGAAAACAAAAAGATCTCCAAAGTTGAAATAAAATAAATTAATAATATTCGCCATAATGAGTAAATTTTTTTTCTTGAGTTGTCAGCGCTTCCTAGCTTTGGAGACAGATGAGGAGGACGCATGATGATAATAGTGGCAATAATAGTTGCAATCGAAGGCAAGTCAGCATATCATCAGACAGCACACCCACGTTGGGCCAACGTTGCTCCAGTGTTTGAATTTGACATTTGCGATGTGGGCTCCACGTTTGGAACCAACGTTGGCTCCACGTAGGGCCAGCATCGACCTGCATTTCCGGCCAACCAATGGGCTAACGGCAAATGCAAACAACAAAGGCTTTGAGAAAACTTCTGTTCGTAAATGATTGTTGAACTCTCCTACCAGCATTTGTCGCCTCTCTCAGTTTGGCTGGCAGTACTCCAGCTAGTACTACTGCCCTCACTTGGGTGCCCATGTGATTTCACTCATCACTCGTGGGATCGCTCCTTTTATAGAAAACGAATCTTCAACTCTCGAAGGGGAGCCAGTCACAGTCTCTACGGTTGACAGGAGTCTCCTTCGACCCGAATACTTAACCTGCTTAAAATAAATTAATTGAAAATTTTGAGTGTTTTCCTCCGCGTTGTCTGGGGAAAGGACCAGATACCGGATTAAGAAAGGGGCTGATAGCAAAATACCATTGAAATAGCAGCAACGTAAACGCAATCTCGCTTCGTTTCTGGGAAGCATTCTTGTTCCAATAACTGAGATGGATGTCTCTCCCATAGATTGAACAGATGTTGCCTGTGGCACTAGCACTTACGAGGACCAACACCGGCTGCCCACTGCGATGCAGACTCACGCTTCCCCGCTCGCAGCCAACATGGTCCCAACGCTGTGTGCTGCCTGGGTTATTATTACTATGTGATTCCAATAGAAATCCAGCGATGTGGGGCAGGGAAAATTAAAATTGAATCACCCAAGATGCAGAGCCCCATTCGAGTCAGAGGGCACACAGCCCTCCATTGCTAATTCGATTCGTGTCCGAGCAAGGAGAATGGGTGCAAGGGAATGTGTGAGACCGGAGCTAATAAGGGCCGAGCAGCCTTGGGGCTCGGGATCTGTCCGGGTGAATTCTTACCCCCCTAACCTTCTCATTGTCCTTTTTCAGAAGGGGGATTGATAGCTGTGTCTTGGTCTGATACATCCCCTCCAGACCCGAACCAAGAATAACGTACGGTGTCGTAAGACTCGGAGCAGCCGAGATCCCAGCGTCCCGCGTCGTCAGCATGAGTCGATTGCACAGGTGGACAGGGGTCATGGATCGATTCGCATTCGTTCTCGGTTTCCACCTTGATCTTCTTGGCGCTCCCTTCTCCTCCCGTCTTGCTCTTCATCCGCACCGGGTGAAGGCCGCTGCCGAAGAGAGTACGTTCCCGCTTTAAGACGCATTGCATCACCTTCAAATATTTGTCGGAATTGAAATCACCTGTCGACGGGTGGATGTGCTTCGAAGGCAGGGACGTTGAGAGCGGAGGCAGGGGCCTTGGGAGCGATCCTTATGACTCCCGGTAGCGGCCTCGTCCCAGCAGCGCCTGAAGGGAAATCGACAACTGGCCAAACGTTCGAATCGTATCCATTGGAGATGCCGAAGAAGCATATGTATTGTCTTTATTGATTTGTTTAAACTCTTGGAATCATGAGAATTGTCGGAAACAATGAATCACGGGATAAAATGTTTAAAAAAAATGCGAATGCTCACCCGTGTCATGGTCTTACGGCTGGAGTGGCAGGAAGTACGATGCTTATTTAATGTTCCGTGTGATGAATTCGTCATTAAATTTGACAATAAATTGCAAGAAACTGAAGAATATTACAGGGATTCACGTACCCCTGAGACCATTGCCACACCTGCTGCGCGCTGCACAGAATGTGGAAGCTAGAAAGACTGCCTTAATACGCTGAGCGAATTGTTTTCACGAGTACTTCATCCACTAACTCTGAGTTTGGAGCATCCGAGCAGGAGAAACGGCGAGGGGAGACCGATCGTGACCGACTCCAGTCGAGTTGGAATCTGTCCTGCTGCCGTCCACAACCAGCACGGAGGGACGCGAGCCGTCTTTCGTGGGTCTTCCATCAGCGGAGGTTTGCCTCCGCTCGTCGACGGGACCGAGTCGCGTCGGGCTCACGTCGCCGCGTCTTTGTGCGTGGCAGTCCTCATCGTCTGACTCTCTGGTGGGTTAGAGGGCATTTTAAGTGCATCAGGGGGTCTGGGGAATGAAAAAGGTCGATGCATCCAAAAGTTGAATGCATCCAAAAGCTGGATGCTTCAAAAAGTTGAATGCATCGAAATCACCTACAAGCAGATCATTTCTGGAGTTGGGCGTTGATCGGTGGCAGGGAGGACGGACGTCTGGCCGAAATCGGGGAAGGAACTGCTCGTTGTATGAAACATATCAAGTGCTAGACACCGACCTTGGGTTCCGAGTGCGTATGCCTGCGATCACAATAAAATTAATTATCATCACTGATCGAATTTCTATCTGCAGTGTTCTAGTCGATTAAGGAAATTTTGTAGGGGGCCATTGAAGCCCAGTGAGAACCTGATCAATTTCATGGTTTTATTTTAGGTATGAAGTCATAGACTCATGGCGTCCGACTGACCGCAGATGTGGAGAGGGCTACGAAATATTGCCGACGAGTTCCTGGTTCGCCCGGGCTTGCCTGCATGAAGAGGAGAAAGAAATGTCCATCATGAGCAGCCCATTAGTTCCACTCATATCAATGAATAAAAAATACATTTGCACTAAAATTCCTTCGTCCGTGGCTTCGTGGGAAAAAAAGTATCATTTCCATGAGGCATTCAGCGGAGGCCAGAATTGCACTGCGCAGTCGCCAGCTCAGATCACGAGCCCCAAGATTGTCAATCTAGTGGAGCACTGGTCTTTTACTTCCTAAGCCTTTCAGACGGGTTGCCTTGGGACTCGGAGTCTGGGCGGGCGACCGGGCTTTAATATTGTAGCTTTCATTGTCTTTTTTGGAAAGGTATATTTATATTTCACTGTTATTAATATAATGCTAATATTATGCCTGATGGAAATATGTTTCAAAGGGAGCCACACAAATAACAGAAGGTCGACCTTCAACACATTTCGTCTGCCGAGGTCCACCCAGGAGGCTTACCGTCCGACGACCGGTCAACTTCTGGACATCCCTTTGGACGGTGTCGAAGATGGTCGCATCCTCGGCTTGATTCTGAAGGTTCAGCGCGATCTTGTCGCTGGACTTCCTCGGTGAAGACATGCCGACTTCCTCCTCTTACGCGATGCGTCGGTCTCCTCGACGATCTGACCGTATGACCTTCTCCTGAAATGAGAATATGAAATGAGAACCCTCCGAAGTGACGTGTTTCCGTGACTCAGCTTTCCCTGTTCTTCCCTTCGCGAAATAAAATATTCTGCAGTCACCTGGCGTTCCCCATCAACGGGACTTTTCCTTCTCGGAGAAACCATTTAAGCATACTTCTTAAGCCGGGTCTAACCCGGAAGACCAAAATTCTTTAATTTACAAGCAGAGCTTCATTTCACGGAATTGTCAGTCATTAAACCTGAACTTGGAATGTAGGGCATTTGGGCACATATTTTATAAGAGTTGGACTCTTCTTCCGTTTCATGAAAAGTAAAATCAGCTGGATTTAAATAACATTCCCCACCCCTCTCATCCTGTTCCTGGAGCAATCATCTCCCTTCGAGCAATCACCTCTCGCTACTCGCCTCAATGACATCCGCTGAGCCGAGGCGCGAGCGAGTCTCACTCGGGATGGCTGGCTGGCGCGGGGTCGGAGAAGCGGCGATGGCGTCGGATCGTCATACAATTTTTTGAAGAAAGCTATTCTCACAGTCGCGTCATAAAATTATTGCATGAAAAGGAAAATTAATTTGGGGAAAATTTGGCGCGAAGCTAAGTCACGTATTATATGAGTCGTCACGTATGATATCCCCAAACAGGAGGAGCTAAGAGATCTTGTAACCATGAGGATATCGTCGTGACTGTCAAGCGGAATCTCGAGCGATGAAAGAAGAAAGAGAGGGCAATATCCGCAAAAACTCGGGGAGAGCGCGCAGTGTTTTTTTTTTGGAAATTGTGAAGTAAGTCACTGACACCTGAGAGAGGGCTTTCTATAGCGTTTAGCCCAGCGACCATTCCACGTCCATCGAAGTGGACGCAGGGTTTAGATGGGGGTTGAAACGCATTCAGGCTTCCGTCGAAGGCGAACAAGTTTGCGGATTCATTGTCGTATTATTCGTCAATGAAATCGGAAATGGCTTCGTCATGGGTCATTTGTCTTCATTCATGAAATTCACAGAGAAGCGGACTCACCTGAGACGCGGTGAGAAGCGACGCACATGCAGTGGATGTCGGCGCTCCTGTCTTCCTGGGCGACCGAAGGAACGGAAAGGAGGGCGCGAGGGGGGACTGGGCGCGAGGGAGGCAGGTGTTGTCCACTCGGCTCACCGAAATTCAGCGCTGAACGTTCTTCATCTGAATCTGCGCTCGCTTTGGGGGAGAATGGCGCGTCTCCGGTCTGGAGTGCATGGTGACGCGTCGTTCGGAGGCATCCAGCCGGGATCGTGTCGCTTCGTCGATTCGCTTCCATCGCGGTGATGCGATCGTCTGTTTCGTGGAAGAGGGCTCTGAGATGACGCTGAAGGTGGCGTTGGAAAAAAGGGGGCAGGAACGAATGGAATTATTTTTTATTGCTTCAGATAAAATTTTGCCATTATTCAAATTAAATTGGCAAAATTTGGGAAACTTCGGATTGATTCCGGGAAAATGTTGCCTCAATTGGCGCATTGCCCGAATGAGAGACTACGTAACGCTATGCGACATCGTCCACTGTTTTCATCCTGTGCGCAGGATAATCGGCGGATTCGCTTTCGCCATCGTCGCCGGGAATTCTCGGAATCGCGTTTCTCTTTCGCGGTTGCTGTCTTTGCCCGTTCTACTGGGATCGCGCGTCACAGGTTTCGTCGGAAACGGCGAGAAGCTAGCCATCGCGAATATAATGTCTGAGAGTTGGATTTAAAAAAATCGACACGTACGGCAGTTTTTGACCAACTTTTTCATTTCCGCAGGGGTTCTCAAACTGGAGGGGGAGGGGGTGATGGGAGATGATGGGAGTTTTTTTAATGTTATCTACTACAATGTGCGATAATAAAAAACTATTGAATATTTTATAGAACAATATATTTTTCACTGTGAATAAATCACATTCTCTAAGACCTTTCTGGCACTTTCTCCAGGAGTGCATGACTAAATGACAGCATTTCAAGGGGCAGACTTTTAAATTCAATTCCTCCTTTCAAGCGTGTACATTTCTCTCCGCGATTTCCTGCGATTCGAAATATGACAAAAGAATCTGGGCGTTCCATTTGGGCGTAACTCGAATGCTCGATGAATGAATCGTCTGTGTTCGGTCTAAATAAATAGTAGAAGAAACTCAATGACGCAGAAGAACGGGGTTTCCCTCGCAGAACAAAACTTCATAAGTATTTTCTCTATTAGGACTTTGACAATGTGATTTGCAGGTCATTGTCATCGAAGAAAATCGTCATTATCTTCGTCGTTCGAGGAAAATCTCTTCCCCGTCCTCCACAGCGACATCCTTTCCTGCTCCGCGCCTAAGTTCGCCTGCCGGTTTCCATTCCATTCCGCTCGGGTAGCGCGAGGGGGAGAGAGGGAGGGAGATATCTAGTCAGTTTACCATTCCTCCCGAAAAAGAAAAAAATTTTTACTGAACAAAATTGTTTTCCATCCGGTGTAAATATACAATCCATTTAATTAATCCAATATCAATTACATAATAATAAATATATAATAACTAGAATAATGATGTGAGATTAATAGCATGATAACTAATAACTAACTGATGATATAATAAGAATTACATGTTTTTACGAAACAAAGATTTCCCATCATTTCATTTTTAATTTACCTACATTTATTTCTCATAAGAAAGTTAAATAATTGCTTCACTGCCAATTCGAATGGTGAAAGTGAGTTTGATACCAACTCGAACACGAGCGGTTCCGTGACTCAGCGTTAGAAGCGAGGCGAACCGGTCTGCAGTCGTGACGATGGTGATTTACGTGATTGATGGTGATGGTGATGGTGATGGATGTGCCAATTTTTTTTCCACATCCTGGCTCGTATTTTGTTAGCAGTCATTAGCAAATCGTCCCGTATTCTTCATTGAGTATCTGGGCGTCCGTAATTCGGAATTCCCAATTTTTTTAATGCAATGGGACGTAAAATGATTAGCTCGTAATTAGAAGATGTGAATGTTTCACACGTAGATGGATTAGATGTAATTATATTAGTGTAGGTTTTTATTAGGGTAGATTATGGTACATTTTGTCCAAGATGACTCGTTTTGCTTGTTTAAGGCGAACGAAATTGAAGTTGTACTCGTCGAAGAAACGACATGACTTAATAAATAAAACAATCGATTGCTCATCTGAAACACGATCACGAAACACGGGGCCGGCGTCGAGAACAAGCACGGGAATGTTAGTGGAGGGAGTGTGAGGGGGTAGCCGAGCAGGCGAAAACGCGCGGCGTGAGGGAGTGGCAGGACGGTTGAGATTGGGCGGTGTGGGGAACAGTTACCGTTGGCTACCTGCTCCAGGTAAAATTCCGTTCCAATATAATTCAAATTTGTTTCTCCATTTTTAGCCAGGACACTTCTAGAAGTTTAAAGTTGGCTGTACTGGAAATTTAATTTCACGAAGGAACATATGTACATGTGTTACATATGTAATGTAAAATGGATATTTAGGTTAGAACAAATGATGACCTCTAATAACGAAAATTTAAAGAACTTTTAAAAGAAATTAAAAGTTGTTAGGACAATTAATGTTGAATTAATCCCCCCCCTCCTCCCGCTTCTACATGATCAATCATTTGATCCTTTCTTCCTTGTTTCTCATTATTCATGCTTGTATGTCGACGCCAATTCTGATTACCTTTCTACGATCGCTGATATTTTTTTGGATTTGACTTGATTAAATGAAGATTTTATTTTGAAAAAAAGTTACTTAAGTTCAGGGAAATTCCTGTTCAAGAAGAAAACTCTTCAAAACCAATAGGTCAGGAGTCCTAGGGGATCCTATAGGATCTTGGTGTTTCAATAACTTAAGGAAATGTCTATAGGTTTCCTATAGGAAAGTGGTCGGCAACTGGTGGTCCGCAGGCCACATCCGGCCGCGCAGAAGCTCTTCCTCTGGCCCGCGATGGTCTGGCTATCGCACCTTACGGTCTGACAGTCGCCGTTCGGATGGACGTTTGAAATTAGACATTCATCAAAATTAATGACACTTGGTAGGTGTTGGCCCACGAACGTGCAGCATTTGGTCATGCGGCCCCCCGTGAATTTCAGTTGCCGACCACTGCTATAGGACTTCCTCGCTAGGGATGTCTTCCATCACTTCCCCGAACGTCTCTTCGCGCGCGGATCTGGCCGTCCCCTAGCTGTCATACAGGGTGGTCCGCGAATTTTCTTTCGATTCGAAAGGCATCGAAAGGCTGGCATCGAAAAATGCACTTCATCTTAGCCGACAGGAACAGAAAAGTGACAAATGGGGATTGAATACTGACGAGCAGCGAAACTACTTCGGAACTTCCTCAGAAGACCAAGGAACCCGGAGAATCTGGATTCCATAGCGTTTCAAAATGAAAGCAAGAAACGTTTCAGCGTGCAACGAAGGGACGCCATCCACGTTCATGTCGTCGTAGCGCATCATGTAGTGGCGCATCTTCTCGTACGGTCCCATTGCCCAGCGGTCGTTGATCCCGCGCACGCCTTTGGCTTCACCGAAATCGTGGCCTTCAGGAATGACGACGAGGGACTTCGAGAGACCGGTCCAACCGATTTCGAGCAGTGTCTCGTTGGCGAGGTCGAATCGGAACTGATCATCTGTGCGCACGCGCATGAGGTAATCGTACCTAACTCCCGTCAGAGCGACGTGCTTCTCCGTCAATTCGAAGCAGCGTTTCAAACCGTATAATTGTTGGAATAAATTCTGGGTGGTCCATCCTGCTCTCAGCTTGAAATCGTCCACTGAATGCACGGGCGAAAGTGGGGCATCGTCGTAAATTACACCCAGCGCAGGTTTGATTTTCGTTTTTAAGTAGCGTTCGTCTGCTTCGTCGTTGGATTCGTACGTGGAAACGTAATAGAATATGTCGTAATCGGGACGATCCTCGAAGAACGCGTTCAAAGTCTCTTGCGTCTTAGGCCATGC